GAACATTAAAAACAAAGTCTACGGGGACATAGTTCTAACTCCACATGTCCCACAGTTACCAAACACAGCACCTGGTCTCCCAGGCAAATGGTGCCGTGAGCTTCCCCAGGGTCCGTGGGAGTACAAAGACCCGGCATGCCTCACTTGGGGGTCTCTGACAGATGGGGACTACCTCCATAAGATGTGTTTGGAAATGGGTGGGGGCACTTCTGGTTGTCACAGTGACTGGAGGCATTTACTGAGCCAGAGCCAGGCATGCTCAATGCCCCGTAAAATCCAAGACAGGGCCACACTGCCAAGATTCATCTCTACTAAGATGCCAAAGAGCCCCCATCAAGGAATGCTGCCAGGGCCCACTCAGGTGACTCTCTCAGAACAAAGCAGCAGTTTCTGCCCCCAAAGGAGCATTCAAGACCCCTGAGATAGAAAACTGCATGTTGCTTTGAGGTTAGTTTTTTCTGGGTTCTAGCCATCAAGCTTTCAAAACCCTTGAGGTTGTTTCATTGTGGGCACCTTGCCTATCTGCCTACTGATAGCTTTGGCTTCCTGCAGATAGAGCATCTGTCTTTCCGTTCCCCTGTGACACGCAGGTAGTGCTCAGATGGCCTTAAGGGGGAAAGGCAGGCATGTCACTTGAACACAAAGCAGCTTTAGAGTAGACTGCAGCATCCCTGTACCAGATCCCAACCAGGGCCAATTGTATTGTGAACTATATTTATTTCCACAGTGGTATCCAATAGTGTTGTTATTTTTTATTTAAAGTCCAACTCCCTCATAAGAAATCAGAAATTTTACTTGGAAGCTTCCAAAGGGTTGGTATCCAGAAGTTCCACAGTTTATTTGAACCAAAAATTAGATGGCTCTGTCGATCAGAACAAGCAAGATAGAGGCTTTCTGTTTATAAATACATTTTAGACCTGCCTAGAGCAGAGTATGCATCTGGAAAACATATATTTATTTTTACAAGCAAATTACTCTAGTGTGAGGAATTCATTATAGAGTGGTAAAATTAAATGGTTACGTTTCATTTATAACTTACAAGTATCATTTTACAATGTGCTTCTACGCACTGGAAGGAACTGTTGCCTATCATTAAATATTTTCTGCTTTGTGTTCCTTTTACATCCATTTAAACGCTCGTCAGATTGTTTGATGTTATACCCAGCCGGAAGCATTTTTCAATTGTAAGTGGAGACGGCTGTTTATTTCAGCATTCCCTAGAAAGTGACTGTGTCAGGGAGCGTGCACAGAGACTTTATCACATGCAGAGGGAAGCTGGGGACAGAGAGGGTTTCTCGGGAGCAGAATGGGCTGCTCGAGTGGAGCTCGCAGCATGGTGTCCACACTTTGTGCCTAGGAGACACCGCTCTCTAAGGCAGGTGGTGCCATGCTGTTCCTTAAAGAGAGACTGGCCTTTCAGGAACAGGTTATCTGGCCACCTCAGCAGAAAGGACACAGACATAGCAAGGCTACAGATTTTATAGTGTCTACCCAGGAAGGAAGGGGAAAGAAAAGCTCTATGGATTTATTTTGCAGTCCATTTAGCAATCCCCTTAACCCCAAGCTGATTAGCAATTTCAGACTTGGTGTTTTCACCTAAACAAAGGTGGAGTGCTTTCCTCCTTTTGTTTCTTTGCTTCCTTCTTCCTCCCTCCCTCCCCACAGGGACCTCCATTTTGTCCCTCTCTCTTTCCTCTGCCTACACCGTGGGTTTAACCCAGTGGATGTGAGTGAGACCTCACCATGTGTCCTGGTACTTGTGGTGCCTTATCTCTGAGCAGACTGGCCCTGATGCATAGGTTTCCATTTCAAAGCAGTCTTTAATTTTTGTTCTCTCAACTGTGGTATCTGTCACTCACGTAGCACCAACTGTACACGAGAATTGGACACTGCTCATTGGATTTATACTTGGAGTTGTAAGAATTACTGTTGTCTTAATTTAACAAAGAATTTACAGTATCATTTGCCAGATGGAGAGAGAATTTGGAGCCATGGTTGGGTAGGCACTTTCTACTTAATGTGAGAAGAAAACAAAGGAATTTGGCCCAAAAAGCAAACTGTCCCTATGTAGACTCCTGACTCCAGTGACAGGCACTTTAGGAATAAAAATTAACCAATACACAGTTCTTGACCTTGAGAAACTTGCAGTCCAATAGAAGAAGCCAAATGAATGTTTAAGGAACAATAATACAAGATAGCCTAGTTATCTGAAAATTAAAAGGCTTTTCTACCTACCAAAATCTAAGAAATAAGACATGCCTGAACACACTAGCAGAATTAGAAGACATCTGCCATTTTTTTCAACTTTTTTTTTCCATCTTTGGTTCTTCTCTAATGTGTCCTTTCTGCCTTTGTTGTGCATGATTTTTGAGAAGTAATATCCTTCCAGGAAGCCCCCGTATACTTTCGGAATGCATTAGAGCAGTGGTTCTCAAAGTGTGATCCCTGGACCAGCAGCGCCAGCATTGCCTAGGAACTTAGTAGAAATGCAGGGGTTTAGGCCTGACTCAGACCTGCCGAGTACCCCAGAATGGGGACCCAAGAGTCTGTGTTCTAACAAGCCCTCCAGGAGATTCTGATGTGCGCTGCCTTAGAGAAAGGCGGGCCATCCAGTGTTAAGGAGCATCTTCTCTCTGCTCTGCAACGTTCTAGCCAAGCTGAGGACCTGTCACTGGTAGGGTTCCACTGGCAAAGAAGCTCAAGAAACACTACCAGATAGATCTCCTCTTTGGATATTTGCGACATAGGTTTTCCTCTTAAAGGTTCCGTGAAGTCCTGTGCCAAGGAAATTTCATTGACTTTGTTTAACCGGCAACTCCCATATTATTTGAGCACAGAACACATTATCACCGTGTGATAGTACCTCTGCTAATGTCTTGTTGCTAGTACTCTCTGGAACATGTTTTGGGAGAAACTTCTGGGGAGAGCTTTGCCCTGTGTGCTGTCAGTCTTTAATGTGCCCTAGGTGGGAACACGCCTCTGCCCCAGGAGTGTGGGGCTCATGCCTGCTGCCTCTCGAGAGAGAACCAGAGTTGGAGCCAATGCAGCTAGCTCACTTGTCTTCCTTTTTCTCCACCACATCTCCATCCCTACATTCTGCTGCCATTCCCACTTCATTCTCTGCTCTTCAGCCAGAAGATGGGGTGGCCTGCTGAGCCCTGCCTGGGCCACAGAGACTGCTTCGTGTCCATGCAGTGTGTGGTGTCCATGTCTCCATTCTTGCTGTATTTGCAAAGCTCACGCAATTACGTCACCAATAGTGTTTAGGTATTTTGTGGCCCATGCATTTTTGTAAGGAGCATTCATTATGTAATATTCTTATATCTGGCTTTACTAGCCTGTCCCAAAGACCAGATTTTTTTCATTATTTTATCATTTCCTTTAAATGTCAAAAATTATGATTTCATTGCTGAACTGAAATTTCTATCATTATAGCTTGGTCTAAATCGTGTCATTTCCCATCTTACTTGAAGGAGCCTATAATCAGTAAAGAGGATACTGACACATCAGGCCCTTCTCACACGTTATCCCATCTACTCCTCCAAATGGAGGGGGTAGGGAATCCTGTGAGGTAGATGTTACTCACCCCGTCTTACAGACAAGCTGAGAAGCTTGCCCAGGTTGCATAACTAGTGGTTTAAAGTGTGGAGTGAGATGGCCTGGGTTTTAACCTCTATTATGCCACTTCATAGCTGTGAGACTTTGGGAAAGTTAAGTAGCCTCTCTGTGCTTCATTCCCCTCTTCTGAAAAATGAGGATAATATAGTGCCTACCTCACAGGGTTGTTGTAGCTCTTACATTGATACATGCAAAATGCTTAGAAGGATTCTGGCACATAGCAAGTGCTCAGTAAATGTCAGGGGAAGAAAAGATATTATAGAATAGGGAGGAGGGTGACTAATCTAGAATGTCATAGCAACTGTAAATAATACGCATTGTGGCTTGAGCCAGTGGATGGATGGGGCCACAGTTTGTCCTTTGCACCACACCCCAATGGGTGGTAAGCCATGATCAACCCCACGAGACTCAAGGATTTAAATGGATGTTGTCAGTCCCTGCTTTAAGATGCACGCTGGCCTTGTATTTCTCTTGGACCTCTTTCTGCTCCAGTTTTACAGTCTGGCTCTGACCCCCTCATCTTTGGCAACATTACATCTAAATTTTTAATTATAGTTTGTTGCAGGGCACTTGGATATTATAAGTGATTTAAAGATAATATTACTCTAAAGGCATAGAATATTTCTAACTTCGTAAAGCTTATTTCAGAACATCTTCCATGAAACTCGGTTTGCTTTTTGGATCCTCTTCCTCATTACGAGTTACAGGAAAAAACGGAGTTTGGGTATTCCATCGATGGTGGACCTCTTTTCCTTTGAAAGCGTTCTTTCAAATCACAATTGCCTAGAGTTGAAGAATTTTGACCAACAGTTGTTAGGGTTTGGTATCAAAGGAGTGGAAATTCCTATATTGCTGCCATATCATTTCAGGGCAGGTAGAAAACAACCATTAAGGTCTCACAGCAGCCATCTGCCGTGCGGATTGTAACTGACGCAGGTGTGGCGTAGCGTCAGCGCAGCCCCCTTCTTCGATGCGGGGATATTTCCACTGCAGTGCGCAGCAGTTAGGATAACACTCGCACTTGCTGCCTTCAGACTTTTTCAGAGCAGACTGTTCTCCACGAACTCATGACCACCAGTGAGAGCTGCGGGGGGTGCGTGTGGGAGTGGGGTTGCCCTAGTTTCCTGGGCGAACCAAAGATGATCTATTTGGTGACTGGATGGCTGACTCATCCGGTTTCTCTACAGTGAGGCAGTCCAGGCAACACATTTTAGTCATTAATGAAATAGAGATGTGCTGCTGAGACGAGCTTTCCTGCCAGGTGAGTACCAAGGAATGTGAGCAAGCAGTTCTCCCTCCACCCACGCCCATCACCAGAACAGCGTCCGCAGTTTGGCCATTGACTCACCATCCTTTGTACAAGATCTGCTTAGAGAGCAAGCCTTAGCAACAGCCAGGAAATTGCAGCATGACATTGGTAAATTATAATCATATAACAACAAACAAAATAGAGTGCATGTAACGCATGAGGCACTGTTTGAAGAGCTTTGCATTTATTCATCTTATCCTCTGAACAGCCCTATGAGGTGGATACTATTTTTATCCCCATTTTGCAGACGAAGAAACTGAGGCACAGAGACATTAAATCGCTTACTCAAAGTCACATAACTGGTAGCAGAGCCAGGATTTGGTTTTAGACAGCCCAGACCCAAAGTCCCTGCTTTTATCAACTGTGTTATCATTTATAATAATTATGAGCAATAGGGAAATATTGCATTCATTTTTAGTTAGGTATAAACTATATTACACACATTTAAGGCAAGAAGTATTACTAGAGATAAAGAAGAGAGAACAATGAAAGGGTCAATTCAACAAGAAGGCGTACCATCCTAAGTGTGTGTGTACCCTATAGCATAGCTACGAGACAGCAGGGGATTTTAACACATCTCTCTCAGTAAATGGTGGAACAAGCAGACCAAAAAATCAGCAAGTACACTGCAGATCAGAACAACACCCTGAACCAACTTAATTGACCTAACTGACATTGGTAGAACACTCTTCCCCACAACTGTAGAATGTATATTTCGAAGTCCACACGACACATTCACCAGAGTCAGTCGTGTGCTGGTCCATAAAGCTAAGCATCAGCGTATTTCAAAAGATTGAAATCATACGGAGTATGTTCTCTGGCCACCATGGAATTAATTCAGAAATTGATAACAAAAAGATAACTAGAAAATCACCCAAATATAGTGAAATTAATAACACAATTCTAAATAATCCGAGGTTCAGAGAAGAAATCACAGTAGAAATTAGAAAATGTTTTCATGGAAAAATAATTAAATTGCAACATAACAAAATGTGTGGGACACAGCCAAAGCAGTGCTTAGAGGGAGATTCACAGCTTTAAATATCCGAGAAGAAAAACGTTTGAAAAGCTGTAATTTACGTTATCTTAGGAAGCTGAGAAAAAAAATCAGCAAATTAAACCCAAGAAGGGTAGAAGGAAATAAAGATCTAGGCTAAAATCAACGGACTAGAAAAACAGGCACACCATAGAGAAAATCAACAGAACCAAAAATTGGTTCATTAAAAAGATCAATTACAGTTAAGGGTAAAAAGTACCTCAATGCGTTTCCTTCATCCCACTGCCCCCACCACCTACTAAATTCTGAGTTAGCACATCAGTTAGAGTGGGATTTTTTAAAAGCCAGTCCTCCTCCCACAGAAATGCTTTATACCTCCAATCGGTACTACTGTGTCAGTTCCCTTTTCGACTTTCAGTCTCTGCAAACTCTTTTCTAACTATTCTCCTGTCTCTGTTTGTTCCATGCTAAGCAGATGGCCCAGAAATTAGCCAAAAGCAGGAAGAAGGTGCAGTACAAACAACTTCATCAGCTTGGTGTTATGCCTGTTCTTTTCATTTGTTTCCGTTTTGCCTTTTTATGTTTTCGTGTTTTTGTTTTCTGCATCCAGCAAGTTTTTTTTCAGATTTCTTTTTGAACCGCCCCATAAGCCAGCGTTTCTCAAAACTTCGTTGCCTAAAGTGGCCGTTTTCTGTTGCTCATTAGTCATTTCACTTCAGAGGAAGGACAGGGAGCAGATTGGAGATGCTAAATGAATCATACCGTAGTGTAGACGTTCCAACCATTCAGGAGCATTGACGTGGCAGGGACTTGAGTACGTTCAATTATAGTTACTTGTGGATCTGTCAGATTGCTGGATGCAAAAAAGAAAACTCACTAATAACCACGTGTGCGGAGTTAACCCCTAAATGACCCAGACTGCGCTTTTTGGTTGTGGAGCTTCTAGGTGCTTATGAGCTACTCCTGGGACTTTGAGGCATCGGGGCTCTTTCTTAATGGGGTGGCTTCAGGAGTGGGTAACTGCTTCTGTGTTTCTGTGGTGGTACATGAAGACCCTCTTACCAGAACTGCATCCCGGTGGATCCATTTGCACCTGCTATAAACATCATCAGCTGAAGCAGGGGCAAACTCAGAGTGACTGCTTCAGGGCCCTTGGGTATGAGTTAGCTGCCCTTATTCCTTCAATGTGTCAGGCTCCAAAACCTTTGCAGAAAGGGCCGTTCCCTGTCATCGTTCAGAGGCAAACCTACCTCCTTGAGTTACTGCTTCTACGTGGGAAGCAGCAAAGGGGCTCCCACATGTTCCCCTCTGACCTAGAGATGCTAACTCTCGTCCATGTGTCCATCCTCTATGTGGTGCCGTCAGCTTCGGCAATTTAATCCCAGAGTCTGCGTTGCCGTTCTGGTGACTGTGTCTTGGTGCCTTTGTGTGTGAGCTAACCTACTCCTTGTGCACCTGGGTTACAGTAATGGAGTAGAACTTTCTCTTGGCGCATTTTTTTCTTCTCAGGCTCCTGAAGGTGAATCTCAGCCAATGACCGAGGTGGATCTCTTCATTTCTACCCAGAGGATCAAAGTATTGAATGCCGACACACAGGTATCAGCTGGCTGCCACCTTTCTAGAGGTGAAGTTCGGTGGCATTATAACCCAGAGACCACCTTTGTCTGTAGACACAGATGCTCAGTTCCATATACGCTAGAAGGTTATATCTGCAATGCCTGCTGCTGGGTGGGGCTTGGTATTGTTTTCTTAAAGCTCAAAGCCTGGATGTTGTTTAGCATTCTCCTAAGTTTGTACCAGAGGGCTCATTAATTGGACAGACTAGCCTTTTAATAAAATTTGTTTAAAATCACACACCCCCAAAAAACAACCATGCTATTGACATTTTTTATCTTTTTTTTTTAATTTTCCCCGCCAGAGATTCTATACTGGTTGTAATGTTTGAAACTTCTCATTTCTTTTCATCTGCCGTAGATCATTTCCTGCTCTGGGTTAGCCAAGGGGAATGCCCTCGAGCCTGGTGGGTGGACATAAATCTGCCAACAAGGTCCCCATGGAGAGCCCTGGAGCCCACCCTGCATGGGGACCAGACTTGGCTGGCTGTGGGGTGACAGACCCTCTCATGTGCCATTAGATGCTATACCAGACTTACCCACCCCTCTCCTCCTACCTCCAGGAGACGATGATGGACCACCCTCTGAGGACCATTTCCTACATCGCAGACATCGGGAACATCGTGGTGTTGATGGCCCGCCGGCGGATGCCCCGCTCCAACTCCCAGGAGAACGTGGAAGCCTCACACCCATCCCAGGATGGAAAACGACAGTACAAGATGATCTGCCATGTCTTTGAGTCGGAGGATGTAAGGGTGGCTTCCTTGATCACCCTCTGGGTATCCTGGGTGGCCGTTGGGTGACCAGGTTTCACTCGATTTCTCAGAGCCCGGAATCAGTCTAATGCATCATATGTTAAACATGTATTTATTGAGCACCTACTATGTGTCAGGTACTGTTCTAGTGGTAGGGATACAAGGCTGAATAAAACTGACAAGGTACTCATTGTGAGGGTTGAAGGGAGACAGAAAATAAATAGATAAATATACTTAATATAACATTAGGGAGTGAGCAGTGCTATACAGAGAAAACAGGGTCAAGGGTGATGGGACAGGGGCTATTTCAGATAGGGTGATCAACAGAGTTCTCTCTTGAGGAGGTGACATTTGAGCGGAGACCTGAATAAAGTGAGACTAAGGAAGGAGCAAGTGCAAAGGCCCTGAGGCAGGGGCCTGCTGTATTAGTTTGAGGAAGGGAAAGGAGGCCAAGCTACTGGGGAGTTTGGAATCAGGGGAAGAGTGGGAAGAATTTGGTCAGTCCCCGAAGGACCTGAGCAAGTCTCCCTGAGCATCAGGGCATTTGGGGAAGAGGATTCTTTGTTGTACAGGGCTGTCCTGTGGACTACAGCAAGGTTAGCACCTCCGCTCCTCCCCACCAGACCACAGGAGTACTGCCCACCCCACCAGCTCCTCCTGGCACAAAGCCAGTGATTCCTAATCTCCATTTCTCCTGGTGGTGAGGTCAACAGAGAAAATATGCTTACAATAGAGGCCATTCTTTCATTTGGCCTTCTTCCAGGGTGGTGCCTGGAGCTGCTGGTGGGGCCATCAGACTGCAAATTGCATTAGCTCCTGAGATGTTCCCAGGGCCTCGGCACGCCTTGGAAGCTCCCTTCCAGGATGGGCCAGACCCCCATGTGGTGTTGAACTACAGGACTCCCCCGCCCCCCACAAAACCCCACTCACCCACTGAGGGCTGCGTCAATGCCCTTGACTGTGCTAATATTTCCTCCTACCACAGAGGAATATGCCCTGTTTCTCATAGGAGCAGAGAGCCCTTATCTGTTTAAAAGAAAATTGCCTGTGGTAGCCTTGGCTCCTTAAAAAAGGCCATTTTGGCCGGGCGCGGTGGCTCACGCCTGTAATCCTAGCACTCTGGGAGGCCAAGGTCGGCGGATCACTTGAGCTCAAGAGTTCGAGACCAGCCTGAGCAAGAGCGAGACCCTGTCTCTACTAAAAATAGAAAGAAACTAATTGGACAACTAAAACTATATAGAAAAAATTAGCCAGGCATGGTGGCGCATGCCTGTAGTCCCAGCTACCCGGGAAGCTGAGGCAGAAGGATTGCTTGAGCCCAGGAGTTTGAGGCTCCAGTGAGCTAGGCTGAAGCCACGGTACTCTAGCCCAGGCAAAAAGAGTGAGACTCTGTCTTAAAAAAAAAAAAAAGCCATTTTTCTCCAGTGGAGTGTTCGTCTAGCTGCGGAAATTGCTTCCCTCCAAGGAGTTAGGAGCCAGCGGCCATCTTGCTTTTCTCTGGGGAGCCAGCGCTGTCATGGCTGTGGCCACAGAGAGGAGGAGATGCTGAAACTTCTTGTCATCGTCCTTTACTGGTCTCGTTCTCTAGGAAGCAGCCTCGGGCCAAGGTCACTGGGAGGACAGAGAGCTAGAAAGGCCTCTGCCTGCCATCCTCCCTGCTCTCCTCCCCACCCTTCCTTTCCAGCTGAGCCAGACGTGCGAACAGGGAGAAGATCCGTTTTTAAGAATTTCTCCCAAAGTTCCAAAAGAGTGAAAATGTGGCATCTTAAGCCTCCTGTGTCCCGCAGGCTAGTGAAAAGGTGGAGTCAGCGCTACTGGCCTGGCTCAAGGATGCTGTAGGCTCCTGCCACCTCCACCTGGCTTGGAACTCATAAGGACGGGGTTTCTTCTCCTTGGGGCCCATCAGAGAAGAATGGAAAGAACGGAGAAGCAGGAGTTAGGACAAGAGTGGATGCAGGAATCTCGCCCCTGTCCTTTCGGGAGCGTGGACAGAGTGCGTTTGCTCCTGAACTGGAGAGCTGGATTCGCATCCTGCATCCGCGTAGGAGCTGTGTGGCTGCTCGGCCTCGGGCTCCTCTCTTGTGGAATGACGGTGCCTCCCTTGTCAGGCTGCCGTGGGACTCTGATAGATACTGCACATAAAGCCCGATGGCTGGCACGCGGCAAGCAGTCCCTAAGTCTCAGCCGCCAGTGCATCTGCCAGGTGCATCCGTTAATGATAATCGGGAAGGCCACTGGTCACGTTCCCAGGTGTATATTTTCCCATTCATCTGCATGTGCCTGTCTGATGCTGGACACGGTGCCTCACTCCCTTCCAGCTTTGCAGCAGGGTGGAGGGTGGTGGTTCTCCATGTGACCTGTGGCATGCGAAGTCCCCAGATTCTCAGAGTGAGAAAAATTAGACATTGCTTTCCCCGTGGCCAGCCACACAGGAAGTTCTGGTTTCACTGTTAATGAGCTGCATTACCAACCATTAGGGAAGACAGGGAGAGGGAATGGAGGTTAGAATGCGTGTGTGTGTTTGAAACATTGCTCAAGAGGTTTTCTGGTTTGGTTTTGCTTTTCTGCCCACAAGAATTCCACAGCGAGGCTGCCGGTGTGGTAGGCAAGAGGGTGGGCCCCAGATCCAGCCTCCGGCTCCACCCTCTTCTCAGGGAGTCAGCAACTTAACCTCTCACCTCGGCTTCCTGAGCTGTCCAATTCGAACAGTAATACAGATCTACGATTCCAGAGTCTCAAAAGCTCTAAGAAACTAAAGGGGTTTTTGCAGTCAGTTGGCTGATGGATGTGACTCTAACTGCCACAAGGCAACGCATAGGATTTGTCTAGCTTACCATGAATTTTATATGTTTTGCCGCAGAAGTGTTACTGTGTTCATTTACAGGGCGCTTCCCGGGCCCTGCAAGAGTTATCACACAGTGTCCAGTATATATGTACCTTGTCACCTTTCCAAAAGCTGAAAGTTTCTGAATTCTGAAATACAGCCTCAAGAGTTTCAGATGAGGGATTGTGGACCAGTCATGCTAACATCTGTCACAGAATTGATAGGAGGATTCACATATGGCCCTTTAATGTAGTGTAGGCCCATAAGAAGTGCTCAGTTGTTGGCTGTTCCGATTAATAACGTTGCTTAATTGATGCAGGGAAAAGCCATCAAAGCCCAGTGCAGGAGAAAGAACGATGGAAGCCAAGTTCCCCTCCTATGAGCCGTGTGACCTTGAGAGGTTCCTTTCTGTCTCTGGGCCTCAGTCTCCTCAACTGGGAAATGCAGTGCAGGGTTAGACTGGATCAGAGTTTCAACTCTGTGGGACCAACACTCCCTTTCTGTGACAAATATTTTATAATGCCCCATTATCCTGAAATGATATTCATAGTTAATACATAACCTCTTCTTTTGAAAAACTTCTCACAAAATAATCAAAGTGTGGCCATAAACGTAATATTAAATACAAAGGAGAAATAAAAGGAAAGCAAGCTAAAATAAAATCATATTACAATATATAAATACTTGGGTCCAGTCACTTTGAAAGGCATAATGAAGTATTTAGATGCTTACACCTACTTGGTTAGTAAGTTTGGATATAGGAGAATACAGTATGCAGTGGAATATTGGAAGCACTTTCTATCTGACATTTCTAATTGAGGGCTAAATAAGAATGTATATACACACACACATACATACGTACATACAGAATCACCGTGCATGACAGCAGATGTGCAGGTTGATAGGGATGTGATTTATTGGCAACTTGGTACCATGAGCAGCACTGATGTTGATGATTTTCCAGCCATGAAGCTTCCTCCTGGCAAAATGCTGGACAAATCAAAATACCAGCTTCTCTCAATGTACATAGAATTATTCTTGAAATATTCAATGTGTTCTAAAGCCACACGATGAAAGCTTTTGTGTTTATATATAAATTAGAGTTGAGTCCTGCACTCAGATGATTAGAAACAGGTATTACATGAACATAAATGTCCAGTGGGATATTTGAACATTGTTCAGGATGTAGAATGACGCCTCACTGTGTAGGGCAGCCTTTGCGAGGCAGGATGTCCAGCATCTCTGATTCCTGTCCACTGGTCATAACATGGTCATTGTCATCATCAAAAACGTCCCTAGTAATTTTGAAAATGGCCCCTGGTGGGCACTGGTGCCCCATGTGGAACCACAGGCCACTTGTCTGAGGTTCCTTCAACTTTAGCAGGACCACAGTCTAGGTGGGGAAGGGCGCCAGGCCGTCCGCCAAGCGCGTTGACCTGCTAACAGCCGCCCTTCCTCTCTGGCTGCTACCCCAGGCCCAGCTGATTGCACAGTCCATCGGGCAGGCCTTCAGCGTGGCCTACCAGGAGTTCCTCAGGGCCAACGGGATTAACCCTGAAGATCTCAGCCAGAAGGAGTACAGCGACCTGCTCAGCACCCAGGACATGTACAACGACGACCTGATCCACTTCTCCAAGTCGGAGAACTGCAAAGACGTAAGTACTTTCCTGAAGCTGTTCTCCACGCTGGGTCAGCCGGCGGGGACCCAGAGAAGAGTGGACAGCTCTGCCGCAGAAGTGAAGGCAGGGTAGAGGGTGAGGAGCGCGGTACTGGCAGGGCACTGTGAAGGAGCTCACGCCCACCTCTGGCTCCCCACTCGTGGAGCCCTGTGGTTAAATGCTGTTATGGAGGAGTGTAGACAGAGAAGCAGCGCATCTTCTGCTCCCAGGCACCCTGAGCTACGTTTTAGGTGGGTTCCAGAGGTGGTTAGGACCTCAACTCTGCCATTAAGAAGCCTACAATCTAGGCAAGGGTACCGAAAAGTTAAATGATGGTGCCATGTACAAGCACTAGTCAAAGCCAATTCTACTTGGCAAAATGGAGCAGATCGTGAGTTTCATATAAGAAATGCTGTGCTCCCTCAGGGACGGCCCCACTGCTCTAGACCAAGCTCTCCGGGATTATCTAGAAGAAGACAGAGCCATCTGAGCTGGTCTGAGGTCTGGGGACTATTGGGAAAGGAAGGGGCGAACAGAGGGCTGGGCCAGAGTAACAATACGGAAGCCCAAAGGTCAGAAAGCGCCAGATTGGTCTGGGGAATCGGGAAGGGAGTGGCTTGGCTGGAGCAGGGGGCAGGCCCAGGAAAAGAGATGCAGAGACCAGAAAAGGTCCACGTCAGACGTGGAGGGCTTGCAAGTGTGCTGAGGGGTTCGGACTTTATCCCGTAAGGTAAAAAGAACGTGTAACGAGAAAGTCGTCTTTTAGTCCGCTAGTGTCTGTTAGGTGCCTTGGGTCAGGTTCCCAAAAGCAGAGCTGGAGGCGGAGATTCTCGGTCAAGAGGCCTATGAGAGGAGTGCATCCAGAACCCAAGGGGAGTGTGGGAAGTGAGTGGTGGGGCACTGAGGAAGAGTGTGGTCTTGCTGGGTATGAGCTTCCTTCTGATCCAAAGGGAAGCTCTCATGCACAGATTGTAGGACAGACTTGTCCCACCTTGGGGCAAGGGAGCTGGCAGGCCTTTGTACCCCATGCCACCATTGAGCAAGGTTGGGCAGGGGGTATATTAGTTTGTCAGGGCTTCTGTGATGAAGTACCACAGACTAGGCAGCTTAAACAACAGAAACTTACTATCTCCCAGAGCCGGAGGCTGGAGTCCAAGACCAAGGTGTTGGCAGGGTCGGTTCCTTCTTCAAGCCGTAGGAGAATGCTCTGTTCCAAGTGTCTTTCCTTGGCTTGTAGATGGCTGCCTTCCCTCTACGCATGTCTTTGTCCAAATTTCCTCTTCTTATGAGGACTCTGTCATATTGAATTAGGGCCTTCCTTTCCTAATAACCTCATTTAAAATTGATTACTTCTGTAAAGACCTTATCTCCAAATAAAGTCACAGTCTAAGGTACTGGGGTTTCAGACTTCAACATACAATTTTGGGAGGACACAATTCAACTCATAACAACAGTGTCTCCCATTTGGCTAAGGACAGTTCTTCAGGGAAAGGGCCAACTGTGAGCGTCAGCAGCTGGGGGACAGGAAACCAGCCTGTGAAGGGGACTTTGTCAGGCCCCAATAAGTAACACACACACTCTCTTGATCGGACGCTCCCAAGAAGTGTCTTACCCTTCTGTGGCATCTCTGCAAACTGACTCCTGTCTTCCCTGCCCTGCCAGCGAAGGTCACAAAAAGATGACACACACGCAGGGTGTGGTCTTGCTGGGCACAGTCCCCACCTTTTGGTTGTGATAACTTCAGCATCCCTTTTTTTCTTTTTCCTCAACTTTCTCCTTGTAGGGAGGTGTTTCTGTATGTTTATTTATTTTTAACTCAAGAATCTTAAATGTCAGAGAGAATTTACGAAGCACTGTGGGAGGGGGGAACCCGTGCATGGAATTCAAAAAGCTATTTCTGGAAACCATAACACACCACCAAAGCTCCCACCAACAGAGCTTCTTTCCCCTGCCACTGGGGATACAGAAATTTAAAAAAAAAAAACAAAGCCCTGTTGCCCCTGATGGTTGTGTGCTGAGGTGAGATTGCTTGCGTGAAGCAAGAGTGAATTACAGAAAAGAATGTAGACCTGTGTGAAATTGTTTCTTACCAATTCCAAATGCTGTGGAATGCGGAGATGGCAGGGACGCACCGGGTGGAGGAGAGGCAGAGGCTTTGATTTCCACTGCTGTCCCAGATGGTTACCGATTCAGACTTTCTGAGATTTCTCTCCTTGCAGGTTTTCATCGAGAAGCAGAAAGGAGAGATCCTCGGGGTGGTGATCGTGGAGTCTGGCTGGGGGTCCATCCTGCCCACCGTGATCATCGCCAGCATGATGCACGGAGGCCCTGCGGAGAAGTCGGGGAAACTGAACATTGGGGACCAGATTATGTCCATTAATGGCACCAGCCTGGTGGGCCTGCCTCTGTCCACCTGCCAGAGCATTATTAAGGTACCTGAACATGGGAAAAATCAGCTGCTGTTGTAGATCTGAGATGACGTGGAGTGTGATGCCATCCAATGATGAATATTTGTGAATGTATCCTAAGTGTCGGGCACCAAGGAAGACACGAGTTACCGTTTACAAATTCTTTCCTGAAATCGATTCTAGATCAGAGCTAGTCCATTGGCTCACGTAACACTGCTCTCCAAGGGCATGCACACAGCAGGCATCACCAGTCAATCCCAGCACTCTCCCACTGAGCCTAGGCACAGCCTCAACACAACTTTTCTTGGCTCGGTAATCCACACAAACGCTTCCGGTCAGCCAGGTGTGCTTGACGTGACTTGCCATCCATGTTAGAAATCATGGAAATGCTCCAAATCCGAGCACACTTTTTCCTTCCTAGTGGCCCTGGCTGTGACACAGGCGAGCCTGTCCTCCCCTAGAGCCCGGGGAACGCCGTCCCCTGTGCTGGCTGCCGTAAGGAGAAGGAGACTGTTCTGGTCCGCATACTCCTTTTCATTCCTGAACATACACACTTCTTGTTCAACCCTGAACTGATTCTATTACACAAGGCTGGAGAAAAGCTATTTAAAGGAAAATTAAATGTGAATATTTGAGAAAAATTAGATTTTCATCTTAGAAAGGAAGCATCCATGTGTAGTCTTTTGAGCACATTGGTACTTGCTGATTGCATGGCCAGTGCGACCAAGAACAGCCATCCTCCATGACAGCGTCTGTAGACCCCAGCAACTCGGCCCCATGCACGGTCGCTGCGGGCAGACTAGGGTTATACAGCCTTTTTTTTTTTTTTTTTTTTGGTCCTGCAGGGGCAGGGATTTCTATCTACATGTGTGTGTATGTGCGCGTGTATGGGTGAGGAGGGGAGAGTGACGGGAGAGGAGAGAGGATGCACTAGAGAGAAAGGGAGGGAAGGGAAGGAGTAAATTCATGCACTGGTCATTGTGAGCCACAGAAAATCACAAAGCCAGCCTCCTCAGGCCGAGGGGTCTGCAGTGGGAGGTGAAGGTGGGTGGATAGGACACAGGAATGGTGCCTCTTTGTTTTTAATGAAATGGATTAAATTCTAATTCCACACGAGATAATCACACCTGGAAAGAAATAGTTCGCTTTGGCCTCCTTTAATTTGTTTTTGTTACATCTTCTACCTAAGTAAATTCTGCCTCTTGCTTATTACCCATTCAAGATAAGATTAGAGAATCTGCTTTGAACATGCATATTCATTCAGACCTGTTTAATTGGGCCTCTGTTCGCGCTGAGCTGAGCTGGGGGCGCTGGGATGACGGTGTGCATGTGGAGGATAATTACAGACATGAAAGGATTATGTAGCTCTAATAGCAACGTGGAGGTGAAGGGCTGCGAGCAATCAGAGGAGGGACAATTTTATGTGATTTTTAAGTTGACCTTAAGTAAAACCTAGGTCCGTAGCAGAAAGGAAAATGGGCCTTGGAAGTTTCTGCTTGAGTTAATGGCCAGTAGGCTGGCGTTGAGCCAGGGAGGGACGGGGTTCGAGCCCAGCCTGGGAAGGCTGGCCTGGTGTTGCCATGGTGGCGTGGAGAGGCAGAGGGTGGGCGGAGGTAGGGGGGTTCTCTCTCTCCCACCAGTGCACAAGTTACTTATTGCACACCTTGCGTGCACACGTGAGAACTACCGAGGGCTGTGGGACCCAGAGACACAGTAGGTACCACCCCCACGCCAGGGAGCTTGGCCTGGTTGGGGAGAACTGAAAGTACTGATGGCTGACAGTGATCGGTGCCGTGCACCTGGCGCCACTCCAAGAACACGTGTGGATGAACTCACTGTGCCCTTACTGCAGCCTTCTCTGGGGCAGGCACTACAGCCATGTCCACCGTACACGCTAGGAAGCTGACACAGAGAGAGAGGACGTAATCATCCAAGGTCACGCAGCTGGTCACGAGGGGAGCCAGGTCGCTCAGCCACCTGACATCCTGCCTTCAATACAGAATCATCCCAGGGAGGGTGTCTGCTCAAATTCTAGATCCCGGCCAGGCCCTGGGCAGTGGTTCTCAGCCAGGGGTTCTCAGCCAGGGCGGCAGTTCTCATCCAAAATGCACAGGACGGTGTCACAGCAAAGAATTATCCAGCCCAAAATGTCTGTAGTGCCGAGGTTGGGAAACCCTGCCTTGGGGGTAGAGGAGTTCCCATGTTGGGGAGAGAACTCAGTGAGAGCGGGAGGTTGGTGAGGGAGGTTGGAAGGTTCATGGGGAATTGATCTGGGTTTGGGGAGGAAGATTGTGGAGAGAGGTATTATGGAATGAATGTTCGTGTTCCCCCAAAATTCATAGGTTGAAATCCTTAATCCCAGTGTGATGCTATCAGGAGGTGGGGCCTTTGGGAGGTGATGAGTTCATGAGGGTGGAGCCCTCATGGATGGGATTAGTGCCCTTATAAAAGGACCCCAGAGAGCTCTCTTGCTGTCTTTTTGCTGTATGAAGATACTACAAGTCAGTGATCTGCAGGTTGGAAGAGGGCCTACCAGAACCCAGTCACGCCGGCACCCTCGTTTTGGGCTTGCAGCCTCCAGAACTGCAAGCCAGAAATGCCTGTTGTTTATAAGCCACCACCCGGCCTATGGTACTTTGTCCTGGCAGACTAAGAGCAGACTAAGACAAGGGGATACTCAAGTGAAGCTGGGGAAGCACTGGGCCGAACAGCCCCTGGCGAGGCTCCAGGTCTTGGCCGGCTCAAGTCACCCCCTTCCTTCTCGGCACAGCCCATGAGGGGGACGGCAAACACCAGGTTCACAGATGAGCCATCTGAGACCCTACAGGCCCAGACGACTTGCTAAGGGCCCCCAGCTGGCGAGTCCCGATCCCGCTTCTGCACCCCTGCCTGCCTCATCCATGCACGGACCAGAGAGGAAGGCCGAGCAGGCAGCCTGACTCTCTCTGCCGCAGCACGGGGATCACATCAAGGTGGAAACGAAATACAAACGGAGCCCTGTCTGAGCGGTTTCTAAGGGGAAAAGGTGTATTTGAGGAGCTGAACTTTGATGTCTATAAATCCAGTCTCTATGAAACCATAAAATTAAGAGGTGATGGAAGAGATGTAACTGATGGAGAGTCAGGAAAGCAGTGCCTTTGTGGCCACCCTCAGCGTGCGGTGGAAAAGTGTGATGGGCCATCCGTGGTCCCCCTGGCTGGGGGAGACGATCACCACTGAGAACAGCCAGAACCACGATGCCAATGCAGGCTGCCTTCAGTGGCTTGTGTTGCTTTTTAAAACTCCTCTCGACAGCACACCCCTTCTTGCCTGCACCTGGACAGATGCGCGCACTGCCCCACGCCCACCCTGGGCTGCTGCAAAGCAGCGTTCTGGGCCTCTGCATGCTGCGTGTTCGAATTGGTTTCAGTGTGTCTCGGCACTCTGTGCAGAGACTTCAACAAGCGCCTCTCATCCTGATAAATCAGTGCTTCCAAACTGATCGGAATCACCCGGGGATCTTGTTCAAATTCAGGTTCTGGTTTAGCAGGTCTAGGTGGGCTTCTGCATTTTCAGCAAGCTCTCCCGGGGCGTGGTGGGGGGGGTGACATCACCAGTCTGTGGGCCATGCTTTGAAGAACAGGGTTCTAAGGTGGTATATTCTGCCTCTTGCCACCTTCATTCTGGTTGTCCTTTTCCTCCCCAGGTTATAGGAAATTTGAATCGATTTCTAGTGAAGAGTTATAGATACCGAATTATCTTAATTACTTTTTTCCTAGCTCTTATTTTTCCTGTCATAATTAATTCCCAAAGCATAATTATCAGTAAGTGAAACATACCACAGTCTGCCTCTTTTCATGCCATTGCCTCCATGGTCCTGCCCCCTAGGTTTTTGTTCTTTTTTATACTAGAGCACAGCTTCCCCTGCCTTCCACGGGATCATCATGGTTCCGCTCTCCGTTGCTATAGAGACCATTCTGGCTTCTCTCCCCTCCCCTCTTCTCTGCCCTTCCCCTCCCACCATATTTCTTAATTTGCTGCACCATTCCACTGTTGTCATGGGGACCAAATGACCCTTTATTTAATTGGCACCTCCAATAAAATGGCAGTTCAGAAATCTGAGTTAATGGGACCCAACTTGAAACATTGATTAGGAACGGCAGAGCAAATGCATGGTCTGCTCATTTCAAATCGCCATTTCTCTAAGCCTCATCTCGCAGCACATTTTTCCCAATCTAGACAATCCTTCACTGAGGGATAGATCAGGCATCTTAAATCAATTCACATGGAAGGAAAGAACCCACCAGCGTAATGTGAATTTTTTAGGCAACATTGAGAAAATAGAGTCATTCTTTTGCTTTTTGGTATGTTGGGTAACATTTTCTGTATCACACAAGCATACCTAAATAATCCTGGTGGTTAATGGGTGTAAACATTTCGAGCAGGTGGCTTTGCCTGAAGGGTCGAGATTCGATTCTAACAACATGCTCCTATCTTCAGCATTCTTATCCCTCGGTTCCTACAAATTCCTGGTCTCCTGGTGCGTGGCTGGAGAGAGAGAGAGGTGAAGGGACTTGGGCACCCTTTTCTCTCTCTTGTCCAGCCGTCCCCTGAGCTCCTGGAGGCCCAGGAGAGGGCTCCAGCCACCACATCTCCAGCGCCTAACACATTTCAGAGCACATAGCAAGTGGTCAGTAAACATTAAATGAATGAGAAAGAGGAAGCACTCGAAGGAGAGAGAAATACATGCACGTGTGATGCCTGAGCTGCCCTCACCATGGCCCCACACCCACAAAAGAGGCCTTTTTCAGTTTTAGAAATAGGTGTTTTTAAGCATAATGGTTGAGATTTGGCATCACAGGCAAAGGCATTTAGGAAAAAAACCACACATGAAAAAGGGTCCAGTCATAGAAATTAGAACTGGACGAGGCTTTAGTGAGTTTCACAATTTGTCGTGGAGATGAAGAAATTGAGGTGGGAGAAAGAGCAAAGTGCCTGAGATGCCACTGCTTGGGGTGGCAGAAACAATGCTCGAGCCCAGGTCTTCTGCCACCAACAGAGTCCTCTTCACCAGGCCGCGCTGGTCCTGCTGTCAGGAGCAAGAGGCCAAAGCATCTCCCCGTGTCTGCGCGGGCGAGGGGACCCGCTGCCCTGTGGAGGACCTGGGTCCTTTGCAGACTTTGGTTTACCCAGGGAGAATGACACACGACACCTTCTATTGCTCCGCTTTGAAAACATCGTTTACTTGGCCAGAGAAGTTCCCTGGAGATGTTCCAGAACCACCAGGGATGCTGCGTGAGTGTGAACACCATGTACCGTGGTGCGCGGGACCACAGCTGAGTGGCAACTGTCGGAAGGCTCAAGTCCCACAGAAAACAGAGCATTTCAGGGCACTGAGGAAGCCAGTGCTGAAAGTGAGGAAATTAAACTGGACTCCATCAAAAGTCACACATTAAGAGAACCAACTGGAATCAATCAAAAGGCAGTGAGGAGGCTGGGGGCAATGTGAGGACCACGAACCCTGAAGAATTCTCGCCATGGAGGGAAAGGGAATAAAACGCTGGCCCCAATTCAAGGCTGGATAATAGATTTAGGGGCACAGATTTGTCCTATTGCCGACCTGGGCTGCTTTTATGAGCAAGACTTACTCACGGAAGACACACACCCTCCTGTTGTATATATGGGGCATTATGCAGTAGGAGAAAATACTGTGGGTTTTGAATACAGACAGACGCAAGATTGAATCTTGCTGTGTGTGAACCTGAGAGAGTCACTTAGTATCTCTGATCCTCTGTTGCCTCTTCTCTAAAATGGGAATCATTATAGCTTCCACCTTAAATGAGACAGCTCTGTGAATCTCCAGGTCAGTGCCAGGCAGGAGACAGTGCTCAAGGACAGGTAATTACTATCACTGTGGTTGGGGTGGTTTTACCATCAGGATGGGTTTTGCTGCAGCAGCAGCAGTGATCTTAGGGGTGCTCACATGCGGTACAGACGTGGGGACGGCTGACCAGGGGTCAGGCTGTGCAGTGAGGGGGCAGCCAGTGCTCCCCCAAGTGTCACCCTCACCCCAGCCATGCTAGCACCTGCTCTCACTGAGCACACTGGCCTCAGGCGTGACTAGCAAATTGACATCTTTGGGTCTAGTCTTCTCTTGGAAATGAACCACCTGGGTGCAGGTGAGGACATTGCTCTGCAGTGGTCGTCTACACCAGCTGTTTTCAAAATTGAGCATGCATCAGAATCCCCTGGGACACTCGTTATCGCACAGATCGTTGGGTCTCACCCCTAGATTTTTTTATTTAGTGGGTCTGGGATGAAGCCCAGAAATTGCCTTTCTAACAAGTGGCCAGGTGACGCTGATGCTGCCGGAGTGGGGTTTGAGAACCGTTGGTATTTACCCACTGGCCAAGCACAGCAAAGCCAGATACCCAGGGGCAAAGTAGCCTGCATCTGCCCCTCAGTCAAAAGCATATTCTCGTTACTGAGAAACAAAAGGTGCAGGGGCCACTTCGGCCACTCAAAGCAGCACTCTTACCACAAATTCCGTTTGCACTGAAGTCTCCTAACACCAGCCTCACATCCTCCTGTGCAAGGAGGGAGGTAGAGGCCTGAGCAGGGAATTCATAGGCCCAATCCTGACCCCACAGGGCCCTTGGACAAAGCAGGTTCTGTGTCTGTGTCCTTATGTATAAAATGTGACATGGAAGTCCTGACCTCCCTCAGAAAAGATTTTGCCGACTGGCCAAGGAGTGACAGTTGGCAGTAGTGGCTGTGGGATGTGCGGTTTGCACTTCCAGGATAAGATGCAGACAGCCTTCGTGCATACTTCCTTCTCCCAGGCCTCTCTTTCTCTTTGCTTTTGGAGGACACAAACTGGCCCCGTTTGTGAATTGATCAGTGCTGTCCCTGGGGGATGGCGTGGACTTGGATAGAATAAGCCTACCTGGTTCCCCTGGTGGTGGCTGCTCTCTCCTGGTGTGGAGGTGCAGAGGTACCCATAGTACCATCTCTTAGGAACAATTTCTGCCTTCACCCCTGGCCCTTTGGAGGAGAGGGACACTGGCCGACCTTAAGCCATGCCCAGTCATCTGGCCTTGCTACGTGAGGGTCCAGGCAGGCAGGCACTTCCCACCAAGACTCCGACCTCCCCTGCCTCAACCCTCAGAGCAGAGCCGGGGGCAGCAGGACCTCCAGCCACAGCAGTGTGGTCCATTTACCCCGATGTACATCTCCCCATGCCGTGCCTGGAAGGGGTTGGGAAGCACCTGCCGTAGGCCATTCTGTCTACACCATCTGGCAAGCAGGACTTTGTTGAAGCAGGGCAGGAAGTCTGGGTAGACCTGGAAGGTGGATGTTTGTTTCGGGTCTAAGTTACTTTTGCCTGGCACCCTTCTCTTACAGTGACGATGACAGAGAAGTCGGTTGGGCTGTAGGAGCAAACCTCCCCACCACTGAGTGAGGGCTTGGTGATGGTTTTCTAAAGGAGAAGCTGCTGAACAGACTAGGGCTGCTGTCACTGCTGTGAGTGTGATCAGAGGACAGGAGCCCTCGCCGGAGCTCAGCTTAGACCACAGTTGGGCGGAGGAAGCTCTAAACAGGCTCTGAGACCGGTCTGTGTTTTATAGCCAAAGATTGGCTTTCCCTCTATGCTCCATTCTGACTTAGAAGGAGGGACAGTCATCAAGGGTCATGAAACCACAGATAATCTTCAGGTCTTATTTCCTCTCCTTCCTTCTCCCTCAGCACCCATCCTACAAACCCCCGCCCCCGCCCCTGCAAGGATGCACACACTGATGGGAGTCCCCAGCCGCCGTGGGAATGTTGACAAGCCGTAAAACAGCAGTAGGCAGAGAGAGCGGGGAAGAGGGCCGGCAGAGCCCATAACAACAGGTGACTCAAGCCAGTTGCTGTGACTTAGATGTCCTCTGTTAGAAGAGGACTCACTGCTAGAGTTTGCGTTTTGGAGAAAAAGTCCCATTTCCCACTTGTCTGTCTTCTTACTGGGAAGAGAGTGTACAGCCTTCTTCATCTTTTAAGCCACAGAGCACGTGCGGCTCTTCCTAACTGCACAGCAACCACTTTTATCACAGGCCTTGGACACAGCCCACTCCCCCAAATGAAGACATCGCCCACAGAATACGGATCTCTGCTTGGCTGCGAGGGCACCGTCCAAACCACACGGTTTTCTCCCCGGGTTGGCAGAGCCTAGCAGTGACTGTCCCAGCGCGGGCGTTGCGGGCGGCAGGTGCCTCGTGAGACTTCCTGGCACTTCTGCCTGCCCCGGCAGTCACCATGCACCCTGTACTTTACTCGTGTTCAGGGCTTAAAGAATCAGTCCCGGGTGAAGCTGAATATCGTGAGATGTCCTCCGGTGACCACCGTGTTGATCAGGAGACCAGACCTTCGCTACCAGCTGGGCTTCAGTGTCCAGAATGGAATTGTAAGTACAGCACTCTCCACACCCTTTCCCAAAGTGTTGACAAATAAATCTAGCACGTTTGTCTTTTTTTTTTCCTCTTAAGCCAGTTTGTTTCCTGAAAGAATCCATCAAGGAAGGGGCTGAGTGGATAAAGGCAGGCTCAACTCCCCCTTCGGACAACTCTCTCTCCCTTCGGGCAGAGAATGCCGCCCAGAGCCCAGCGTTTCTGTGACGTGGGCTGCCCTCCCGGCTGGTGACTAGAGCGAGTTTGGGGTATACCCACCAGGGGCCTCCTCCCCTCAGAGCCTATGGCTGTCCACTCAGGCTGCACCCAGAGGCCACTGCAGGGCTGCTGGGAATCCCGGGCCTGGGCAGTGGGGCCCGGCTCAGGCAGTCCTCAGAGCAGCGGTGACCCAGTACAGAGTGCAACCCAGGCTGAGAGCTGCTGCTTCATGGCCATTCTGTATACGTGGTCTGTGCTTCGCTCACTGGCCTGTGTAACCTAAACTAGCACTTGGGATAAGGAGTATTTGTATCACGTCTGTCTTAAACTAATGCTTCCTTATATTTTCTTTTTTAAAATTGTGGTAAAGTATGCATAACCTAAAATTTACAATTTAAACCATTGTTAAGTGTGCAATTCGGTGGCATTAAGTACATTCACCGTTTCCTTTTCTGCATCCCAACAGAAACTCTGTACTCAACAATACTGTTTATCTGGGTTTCCTTGTTCTGGACGTATAGTAATTTCTGGGCTTTGGCGGCAGATGTTCTCTGTCTGCAACCTTGATTTTATAGAATGTGCCCTCTCTCCCTCTGTGTGCATCTTTCCAGACACAGAGCCCTATTTTTGCCCCCTTAACTCTCAGTTAAGAGTCCTAGGTAATTAAAATTTATTCCACATGCATTTTAAGGTTTAGAAATACCTTTAAAATTCCCAGAGTTGAAATATCCATCCCCACTCCCTATGTTCTTTGCACCCAAGTAGCCTCATTTGCCTGCTAGTGGGGGCGTGAGGGTCACTCCTTATAGCCTGGGTCGGACATCGTCTTTGTATCTGCTTATACTTGTTTGCTTTGTTCATATTTGAACATTAAAAGTTGTTCAGATAGGAGCAAAGAGTTGTTCAGTAACACATGTGGGTCCATTGGGACCCTCAGTTTTATCTACTGTATGGAAAGCACCTGAGGAATGTTTTGGCCCCAGAGTAGCGCAGGGACTGAAGGGGCCACACACCCACAGAAGCACAAAGCATGTTGCTGCCAGATGTCACTTGCAGCCTTCTCTGCATCCACTTTTAAATAAAGACGCGTAGTCTGGGATGAAAAGTCAACTCAGCAAATTCAGACATACTCCTGGGGAAATGCAAGTTGCTGTGTGTGGGGGGTGGGGGTGGCCATACCCCGCAGCCCTAGAGAGCGCTCACCGACCACCGGCCTGCAGCCTGCGCCACTGCAGTGCTTGGCCGCGCCATCGCAACAGCCAGCCTCGCTGTCGTTTCTGGGAGAAGGCAGTTTGGACAAGGGCCGCTGTGTCCAGAAGGCCTAAAGGAGCATCTCCCCTCCAGCCAGCCACACCTGGGCACATAGAGTAGAGTTCCAGCCCCACTTTGGCTCCTGCAGTTGTGACCCCTAAAGCACAGGCTGCTAGATGAAACAGTTCAGTGCGGGAAGTAACACTCACCTGTGTTACGCACACTGACAACACCGATGGGCCCAAACAGCTCTTTTCCCTGGACCCAGCTGTGATGCAGAGCTGTGTCGGTGTGCCGCCAAATCCAGCCGCAGCCTCTGTGCCAGCTGCATGAACCCGGTGGCCGTGTGGGCCCACGGAGCCTGTTTCCTGTGAAAAGAAACTAAGAGATGTCAATGCCCAAAGCCTAACCACGCAGCTTCTCCCAGAGTGCCGGGCGGAGGGGGCTCCTGGGAGGGACAGTCTTCTGTCCCCACCCGGGTCTCTGAGATGCCGAAAGGTGTAACTTGGCCTTTGACTGTCGTAGATCTGCAGCCTCATGCGAGGGGGCATAGCGGAGAGAGGAGGCGTCCGCGTGGGGCATCGGATCATTGAGATCAACGGGCAGAGCGTCGTGGCCACCCCCCATGAGAAGATCGTCCACATTCTCTCCAACGCTGTGGGGGAGGTAGGGGCAGGCCCAGGGCTGGGGAGGGCCGAGGGTATCCCTGGCGCCCTCGCCTCACACTGGGGCCCCACACGGGCCTTCCAGGAACCTTCCTCACACGCTTTCTGATTTCGAACACCAACAACCAGACTCGCCTACCTCTGACCAAATGTTAACCCCGTTAACGAGTGGCTGTCCAGAGCCACCCCTTGAGATGAGGTCGGGTCACCCTCAGCCTTCTCAGATCCGATCTGCTCCCCTTCTCTGTTCAGCACTCAGACCTGTGTCGCTTCTCTCTGTGGCTGCCCAAGGTGCTTCCGTTTTCCCCGGTTAATCTCACCAGATGTGCTTGGTGATTTCAGTCTTAGACACAGCTCTCATCCACGGCGTGGCCCTCCAGAGGCGTCCCCTGGCAGGGCTGGTGTCAGTCACGGCTGCTGTGCTAGGTGGCTGGCCAGAGAGGGGAGGGAAGCAGGAGCCCGAGAAGGCCAGAGTCATTCTTCCATTGTAAGGTTCTCTGTTTTTAAAAGGCCTGGTGAGAACATCTGACCAGGAAATAAGCCTTACCTGGTTTTCCTTGTTTATTTTCTGTCACCCTTAAACTTTTGAGAAGGCCTGTGGCTTCTGTTCTTTGGGAGGTGGGGGGTCGGGGGAACCTTCAAAGCCCCCCGTAATGAGAGGCGCGGCCTCTGTCCCCCACGCTGGGGCAGTGCCGACGCAGCCCGCCCCGCCACCAAGCCTCAGCCCCCGCTCCGTGTGTTCTCTGCCCTCAGATTCACATGAAGACGATGCCCGCTGCCATGTACAGACTGCTGACGGCCCAGGAGCAGCCCGTTTACATCTGAGCCGCGCTCACCGTGGCGGCGGCGTGCATGGAGGACTCTCCTCATCGTGGTTGTGTTTCTCGTGCTGCATCCCCGTGTCCACTGAGACGTTTCCCTCTCGCGCCCAGCATTCGGTTTTACGTGGGAAGAGAAGAATCCACAAGGACCTCTTTGCTCTCTCTCTCCAGTTCGCTTTTTTTTTTTTTTTTTGAATACCAGGGAAGTTTCGTATGTGCTCCTTTGAGGATAGAGAGCAGCCAGTGTCCACCTGGTATCCACCCAGGACCATCCTGGGGGGCCTTCTAGGGTGGGGGAGGGGGTCCCGAGCTGGGCCGTCACTGCCCAAGGGGGAGCAGCGCCCTCCTTAGAAGGAGCTCCGGGGGCAGCAGAGAAGCCGACCCAGCAGTGCCTAAACCCCGATCGCCGACCTCTGCTCTCCTCCAGTGGGCTTACGGGAGTATGGTAGTAGCGGGGACCAGCCCAGGTCGTTAAGGTTCTGCACTGCCCACCGTGTAGTTGGGGCACCGTACATTATTTCCGCCCAGAATTTCTGAGCCAACCTTAAACCTCTTCTATAGCTAGCTTCAGTTCAACGTGTATGTGTTTTCTAATAGGAGCCTTGTCACCCCAGGATCAAAGGGGAAATAACTGCCTTGGACGAGGATACCATAGGGTTGCAGAAAGCTCCGCCATTCCTGAGGCATCCACGGCGTTGCCAGGTTGTCCATTAGATGAACACAGGCAGGTACTTTCTGCCTCTCTCCCTGTCACATACACACGGTCTCACTCGCACATCACCCTGGCCTCCCTCCACCCTCAAGGAGGCAAGTGAAAACCAGGCACACAGAGCCCCTGGGAGACCCAACTCTTGGGAGGCCCCTTCTTCTGGCAGGGAGTCCCAAGAGAGATGCCCTTTCTGTGGCCAAGGCCTGGCCCTCCCAGCACCACCTTGGCTCAAAGCGTCGTCCTACTGGACTCCTCTCCCCCGACACACACACACACACACACGCGCACACACACGCACACAGCCTGGGAAGGACGCAGCGCTCCCCTAGGAAACAAGGCTCTGGGTGCAGTCGTGTCATCTTTCTTGGCCTAAGGTGAGACCAGCTTTCTTCTCTGCTCAGGGCCACTAGGCAGGTTGTGACATTTGAAAGGCCAGAACAGTACATACGCCACAAAATTAAGGGGATAATAATGACCTCAAAATATGCCTAAGAATCCCCCAAATGTGTTCCAGAAACATCTTGCTGCCTCGTGAGTCTTGAGAGTTTTCAACTTGTGTGGAATGTTACGTGTTTTCATCAGGTGCCTCATGTCTACGATTCTGTCTCAGTTCCGTGCAGACGTTTTAGTAATATTATTATTCTGAGCCAGTTTTCACTTATTCTTGGTCCAAAGAGCATTTTGTTTTCATGTGGGGTGTGGTTTTGTTTTGTTTTTTTGTTTTGCTTCATTCATGACCTCAGTAGAGACAGGGGAAGAGAAACTAATATATTTTGTGATATTAATATATTCCCTGTTCTCTGCATCTGGGATATTTATGTTGTGTCTGTGGAAATAGGAATTCAGTGAGCAAATGTTGGGTAGGCTGTATTTATAGAGAGAATGAAGGGATTTCAGGGAGGGAGAAAAGTGAATATATAACAAGATTAGGAACAAAAGACTTCAACCAGAGAGCTCTGTGATCAATTCACAGACGTCTCTGTACCTTCTGAGTTTTCTACTTAGAATCAGGGAAGCTAAATGCTTGGAAGGCATCACCTGCTGAGCTCTGAGTTGTACTGTGGTACAAAAAGCCCTCAGGAAGAGAGGCTGTCGGCTGCCCAAGTGTCCTGGCTGGGAAGGGGTTTCTGCTTCTCCAGAGAGCTGTGTGGGGCGGGGCCGGGGAGCCGCGGGTGACCCAGGAGCCTGGGCCTCTCTGAAGGGTGCTTCACGGATGCCATGGGGAGGCCAGCCCTGAGGCCGACCCGCCACACGTGGGAGGACCAGGAATCACAGCCCAGGTGATTGCCTTTCCTGAAATAACAGGACTGGAGGGTCTGGTCTCATAATGGAACATGAAAGAGTCATCAGTTCATCTTTCCTCTGCCATAGAGAGTGGACAGAACAGGAGTGAAGTGTCGCCAGTGGAATTTCAGGCATCATGAGCCTCGGAAAGTCAGTGCAGGGGCCCAGGCACCTGGACAGCACCACGGAGGCCCACCCGGGGACGGGAACCCCACTAGCACATCCCTGTATGACCCCCAGATAATTACAGCTAAGTATCTTCACCTCTAGGAGAGAAGAGAGAATGTACTTTCTACTCCTGTTGCACAAACATCTTGTAAACTTCGAGAGGTGCTGAGAAAGCCAATTCTGTGAGCTCTCCTAGAGGACTAGCGTTTTAGCATAAGGGTAAGATGATTATCCACCGCATTCTGTTGCGTTAATAAGTGTTTCTTCACGCCTGGAGAGTGAGAGTTGCCGGAGCTTGGGACAGGTCCACCCAGCTAAAGTGTGTCCTTTCCCCCTGCTACACTGGATGGAGTGAGCCCAAGCGTGGTTAATCTGGGAGTCAGAGTCTTAAAAGTGAGTCACTCCATTTTCAAAAGTCCCAAGAGACACGGTGGTCTCTCCCCTCTAACATCCCAATATATATAGTTATATATGTAAATACCTAAATACCCCGTATAATGGGGAAGATCATGTACAAAGCAGCCTTCCCAAACACTGCAAGGGCACAAAGCCACTCTGGCCACTGGGCTGGGACATGCTGGTGACTCAGCTTTGGGACAGACTCCCAGATCTGCCTCCCCGTCCTGGTCCAGGCAGGACGCGGCAGAACCCACCCTGCCTCTGCCTTCTCCACGTGAGCACTTCAGGGAGCCACCGTCAGCCTTGGGCTCAGGAGAGGAAGGAACCCCCAGACACCAGTACCCGGAGCCCACTCCTCACGCGACTCCTCACTCCCTCCCCGAGCGGGCTCCCCGGGACGGCGCACGTCACCCGGGCGCCGTGTCCCTGCAGACGGGTTTGCTTTCTGAACATTCCCCATCAGTACCGCCTTCAGGGAGTCCCAGAGTAACCTACTACCTCCCCCATTGCTCCCCCTCCCCCTCAGTCCCCTTGGCACTGACACTCCCTGTCGCACACTGATGAAAACCATCCACCGAGCCCTCCCCGGGTCCCTCGACCCAGCGGTGTAGCTGTTACCAATGTTTACAACCAGGGGCCACCTCTCCCTAGACGTGCGAACTCCCATCCGCACGGCCGCTCGCCGGTTGAGTTTCTCGTCCGTCTGCTTACCTGGTTTGGGTGACTGGAGCCCACGACTCCCATCTGACTTCCCCCTCCACCGAGGCAGCGTGTGAGGACTGCGTGGGAATGAACTTTCTTGTACATACTTAGCACCTAGAGTATGACCCTGTACTATTGTTCTGTAAAGAGGGTGAAATAGAGCTTATTGCAAAGCGTCGGGAGAAGTATAGTATTGTATTTGTAACAATAGCGTTCTTTGTATACACGAAACTCAACGATCTCTATATATAAATATAAATAAATATATAAATAAACTATATCTACACGTGAGCCTGGAATGTCCACACCGCGCACCCACTGAATGTACTTCCTCTGACAGTCCGGCCACCGGCCCGGCCCGCCCTCCCTCCCTCCGTACCGTGGCCACAGTCGTCTGGTTTGGGGTTGTGATACAGTCAATGTGCTATCTTCCTTTATTTAACGAAACGCTAACGTCTGTATAAGAGTTGCCGCAACAATAAACGAGAACTTCGCCTCTTGGCCCGGCTGAGTGTCTTGCTGTTCCAGGGGAGGAAGGACCATGTGCGGGACGAGTTTGCCTTTTTCCTAACAGGCCGGCTCCCGGACACCCTGTGGGGACTGCTTGCTGCCCCGAGCCCAGGGGCTTTTCTCAGTGGGCTTTTAGCCCATGGAACCGACTCGGCTTTGAACAGCAAAGGCCGAGTTCACCTGTTACAGCTGCGTGGTCTTGTCAGCCTCTGAGCACACTGAACGGATTTCACACTCTGCACCCTCGATGAGGGAAGGAAAACAGGCATTAATCCCCCTACACCCCCTCCCCCCATAATCTCCAGTGAGAGAAGTTTAGTTAAGGGACTGAGACCCAAGTGGACAGTTGGAAAGCAGTGCCCTGGGGCACCCACCAGAACGGTCTGTGGGAAGGTTCTGGAACGTTTTCTCCTGGTGCTCTTTACAATTCCGCTTTTTGAAGTTTGCCAGTCATGACCTCCTGCTGCCAGGGCCACACTGGGGGTGCCGGGCTCCCCAACACAGAGTGTCCAGCCCTGTTTTCAAAGCAAAATGTTCTTCATGCATTTTCTCTGCGTATATGTGCCACCACCTGTCTCCCTGCAAGGTCTGCCATAGCCCCTGGGGTCCGGGAGTGGGGCCGCCAAAACCCCTGGGAGGAGAGGCTGGACCTTGAACCAGCAGTCCTATGGCCTGGCCCTGGGGGACCTCCTCCCCCTTTGCCCTTCTTGCAGGGAAGAAAACACGTTTAGCTCAAGTACGGGGAAGTCACAATTTGGAGAATGACTCACGGCTCGTCTCTATGCACTTTCCAGGGCCTAGTCGAAGGGTTTTATGTAGATTAACTCAATGAACCCCATAGCACCTCTGAGAGGTAGGTGCTGTTACTGTGTGAGCATCCCATTTTACAGAGGAGGAGACTGAGGCACAGAGAACTCAAGAACTTACGCGTATTTTCCCAGAACTCCCTAGCGTGCTAGGACTCCCTTGTTCCAGGGAACCGATTATACTTTCAGGTCTCTTGGTTTTTAGGAGGCGGGATTCCAAGGTTCTCATTGATTTACAAACCTCAGTCTCTGCTTTACCCACAGCGGCCCCACCTCCTCTCCCCAGGCTAGACTTTGGCTCTGGACTGGGGCGGGGCTTGCTCCCGCTGCCGTCTCCCTCTCCAACTCGCCTTTAAGTGACGGCGCGTGGGCGGGAGGTGGCCAGAGGTTCCCTCCATTAGGAGTTGCCCCTGGGAAGGCCACAGCCCTTCCTTGCCGGTTCACGGTGCTGATCTAGTTCACCGCCAGGGGCTTGATGGAGACGAGCGGGTGGGCCCGTCTTCCAGCTGACCCCTGAGGCCACTCCTCTACAGCGCACACTCTTCAACCTCAGCCGTGTCCCCAGCGGTCTGCGCCACCATCTCACCAGCCAGCAAGCCCACTTGGTGCCCATTCCTCACCTGAAGAGGAAATGGCGAGGGCGCCCCTGACCCTCTCTCACCTGGCCACCCCCTAAGGCCCCGTTTCCTGTCTCGCTCTCACCTACAACAGCGCTGCGCCTCCCACTGGACCGGTCCCTCGGCCATTTAGATAAGACGGTCACCAGGGCCCACGTTAGTGTCAGGGAAGCAGGGGGAGGCTCCAGTGCCCCACCGTCACAGGGATTCTCTCCAGGTTTGCCTCCCCCTTTCCTCACCCCACAAGGAGGAAAAGGGCGTGTAAATAACTCCTGAACTTTGCACGCCCCCAAGTGGCAGCACCCCGCTATCACCCTCTTCTGTCACCAGGACGATGGTGGGAAAGCCCGTCTCTGACCTGGCACCTCTCAGCAAGCCCCTTGAAGGTGCATCTGTCCCTGAGGGAAATGAACGTCCCCTGCTGGGTGGTATTTGTCCCTGTGGGTAGGCTCTGCCCCCACGCGGGAGGCTGCCCCTGCCACGGACAATGCCTCATGCTTTCCCCTCTCAGCTTCTATCTCAGCTAAAATTGCAGAACTAGAGAAAAAAAATCCACTCAACCACCCTGATGCACACAGAACCATTTCAGTTCAGTATTTCCTCTATAATTGTCACTTAAGCCATGAGAGTTCCTAAAACCCTTTGAGCTTGTTTACTCATGTGCAGACCAGCATCTGTCTCGTGGG